GCCTGGTGTGCATAGGAAGCTCCAGACCAGCCAGTGTTAACATAATGAGACCCTGTCTCAAAAAAAAAAAAATGTAGAACAACCAAACAAAAAAAATAAATTTTCGTGCTGTGACATATGCCTTTAATCCCTGCACTCAGGAGGCAGAGGCAGGCAGATTTCTGTGTGATGGAGTCCAGGTGGGACTACAGGGAGGCCCTGTCTCAAAAAATAAAATTAAAATAAAACGGGTCTCAGGGGCATGCCTCATTGGTTAAGAACACTGACTGTCTTGCATACAGAAGCTAATGGTCCTTAACTCCAGTTCCAGTGGATTTGATGCCCTCTTCTGGCCTCTGTGGACATTGCCTACATGTAGCGCATTTTCAAAGTTCATACACATAAAATAAAAATAATTAAAAATAAATAAAAGTTTCAGTTTGCAGAGTACACAGTGTGTGTGCCTTTTGGGTTTGGGTTGGTCTTCTGGGCCTAATGTAAGACCAAGTACAACAATGGCTCCTGTCATTCTTGACGGGCAGAACAGGAAGGAACTATAAGTGGCCACTGTCCTTAAGAACCATACTGCCAACATGAGACAACACTGCTAGGTGCTTCCAGTTTGATATTGTAAGTTCTGAGTTGACTTTTGTCAGGTATGCTGAAATTCTAACCCCCTGTGAATCTTACCTCCTTTGAACATAAGACCTTTAAAAGATCTCAGTTGTAGAAGGCCAGGAACACAAAAGGTCACAAATGGCCAAAATTTAGAGAATAAAAATCTACAGAGTATGGGTCCTTAGATAGGACTTTTATATTAAAAACCCACCCACCCAGGGCTCAGGGACCATTGCAGAAGAGGAGGCAGAAAGATTCTAAGAGCCAGGGAGAAGGTGCGTGACCATACAGCAATACAGTCCTACAGGTTCCTGGGACTCTTCTCATACAAACCTACAGCAATGGTGTCAGCATGCACAAGACCCAGGCACACTCAAGCAGACAAAAACCCAGCACAGAACTGTGGAAATGGACAGCAGCAGGCCCCAATCTTAGTCGAAGAATTATTGGCAACTGATTACTGTTGGATGAGGAAGAGCTCATTTTCTTAAAGGGAGGGACTCTAGATAGTCTGACTAGACCTCAGTGGATGAACTTGCACTGAGGGACCTTGGGGATACTAACTTGACATGATAGGCCTTAACACAAATGACAGAATGTATGAATTCCAGTGGTGGGCCAGTGGGGAAGGGGATATAAAGATGATTAAGATGTTCTGTATGAAATACACAAAAATACAATTAAAATTTTTTTAGAAAGATCTCAGTTGTGACCATGCTAAATTAGGATGGGCCTGCAACAAGTATAGTTGGTATGCTTATAAACATGAACAGAATCACAAAGAGAAGATGGAGAACAGAGGCAGAAACTGGAGCAATGCTGTTATGGGTGGATATCAGGGGTTCAGCAAACACCCACTGGGATTTCTGGCTTATATCCTGGAGCAAGGAATTGGACCAAGGACATATGGATAGTAGTAGAAGCAAAGTTAGTTTATTTAGAAAAATCACTTCCAAAGAAGGAAATATGCCAGAGCTGGAAAAAAGGTCAGAGGCTCAATGGCAAACTCTCTACAAGGGATTGGGATGTTTATATTTCAGCGTCCTGGGCTTTTGGATCATTTTATTTTATAACACGTGCTTTCTCTGTGCATGTTCTGTTACATGTCAGCCTTGGTGGGGAGAGGCTTCCAGTCTGCCAACTGGATTTTTTTCATATGCAAATTATGACCTCACTCTGCCCTACTCTCTTGCCACAAAGTACCACCAGCCAAGGAAACAGAAACTGAGCATGTAGTCAACACGTCCCTGCTAACATCTTGATTTTGAACTTCTGGCCTCCAGAACTATGAAAGAATAAGTTTCTGTTGTTTTAAGACAATAGCAGCTCTTGGACACTGATACACAGCATTCTTAAAGCACAGGCCCAGTGCTGGAGGTAGAGTATCAGAACCCGTAGAGTTGGCTTTCCAGGGTTCAAGTCCCAGCTCCATGACTCACCAGTCACCACAGAGGGTTATTCTTAAACCTAGACCATGTCTCAAGAGAAGTTGGACCCCAGTTTAGCACTTGACATATGCTGGGAATTGTCATTAAGTCCAGGGCTATCCTTTGTTCCACAAACTGCCCTGATCAGAAATTAGAACTGAAAAATAACCTACTTTGTTGGTGGTTTTTCTACATTTCAGGCTCCTTAATCTTGCTATTTAATAATCTAGCCAAGCTCTTATTACCATATTGCTACAGATTGAATCTGAAATGTACCCCACAGCTTCATGTTTTGTATTTGTGGTTCCCAGCTGGTGGCACTAGTTTGGAGGTTCTGGAAACTGAGAAATGAAGCTTAGCTGGAGGAAGGAGATCACTGGCGGCAGATCCTTGGGTTTACATTACCTCTGGCTCCCTTCCTTCCTTCCTTCCTTCCTTCCTTCCTTCCTTCCTCCCCCTCTCCCTCTCCCTCTCCCTCTCCCCTCTTTCTTCTTCCTGGCCCATGACGATGTGAATAGCAACCCCTCAGACTTGGATCTCTGGTTCCAGGAAGTCTGCTGTTTGCTGCATTATGGAGAAGAGCTGTGGTCCCAGGAAGAGTCCTTGATCGGCTGTCTACTGTGTCAAGGTAGGGATAGGACTGTCCCAGCACTGGGTAGGAGGTACTCATGACCATTAAACACCAGAGGCTGCACAGGTAATGTCCAGTACTAGTGCCAGCAGAGGTCAGTGTGCTCTAACATGACACTGCATTTGAGCACAGATTAAATAAAAGTCTACACTCACCACAGGCTAATCTGAATATTCCAGACAGACATACTGGACCATGTGGAGATTGTGTGGTTGGGGTCCACAGCAAGATTTACTCTAGCAGACAAAGATGGGGCTTGTTCCACAAGGAGCAAAAGTGAGAAAAGGTTAATCCTGGGGAGCTCATTGCACACAAGGCAGCACAGTTTAGCAGGCAAGAATGTGGATTCTAGAATCTGGCTGCCTGGACCTGAGACAAATCACCTAACCTCTCGGAAGTACCACAGTGTTCTCATCTGTAAAATGGGGGTAACAATTCAGCCTACCTCAGAGAGTTTTAAAATGAGTTAATATTTTTAAATGTATGGAACAGTGCCTATCATAGAGTAAGTGTTATGTGTATGTTTTTGTTAACTAGGAGAAAGCCCTTCCTGGTTATAAGGCTGGATGTACTGGGTTTGAAGAGATGTTGAAAAGATGCCTGGAGGAGCCAGTAGATGTGTGAGCTAGAAAGGAGCCAGATGTCAGACAAGATTGCATCCCTCCTAGAACTGAACAGGTGCTGAGGTCTTAGTGAGGGCACACTCAGGAGGGCCCATTGTGGAGCCTTACAGCATACACAAGGGCACACTCAGGACAGCCCATCGTGGACCCTTAAAGCATACACAAGAGCACATTCTGGGTGACCGACCCATCATGGACCCTTACAGCATACATGAGGGTACACTCAGGTCGGCCCATCATGGACCCTTACAGCATACATGAGGGTACACTCAGGTCGGCCCATCATGGACCCTTACAGCATATACAAGGGCACACCAAGGAGCAAAATGAATTTCACTGTAAACTCTTGGCACCCAATCTTAACTCAATCATCTGAGTGTTCCATACTCTTCTGGTCCTGACACAGATGGTTCTGGTAAACCGCAGTGGACCATCCCTTGCTCTTACATCATGACAGAAGTTGGGTCTGGTTCATTGATGGATAAATATCCTTCCCAAATCAATGGAGAAGCAGATGGAATTATGGATATGTGCCAAGATATTTTTCTGTAACAAGGTTTCACTATGTATTCCTGGCTGGCCTGGAAATTGCTATGTAGACTAGGCTGGCCTCGAACTCACAGGGATCCACCTGCCTCTGCCTCCTTATTGCTAGAATTGAAGGAGTACACCACCACACCTGGCTATATGCCAAGATTTCTAAAAAAACAGATCACATTCAGTTACACATGCATTGATGTCAGAGGCTGAAATTCGATATATCTGCAGACTTACTTTTCCTGGTGCTATGATAAAATGCCCTGACAAAAGCAGCTTAAGGGAGAACAGGTTTATTTTTGTTCAGTTCAAGGATACAGTCATATGGCAAGGAAGCACAGGTCGCAGGAATTGGTTGTGTTGACTCCATGGTCAGGAAGCAGAGAACTGTGAATCCTAGTGCTCAGCTAGCTTTCTCCTTTTCAGGCAGCCTAGGACCCAAATCTAGGGAATGATACCACCCACTTTTAGGTGGATCTTCCCACCTCAACCTAATCAAGATAATCAATCCCTCATGGGCATGGCCATAGGCTAACCTAATCTAGAAACTCCCTCACAGACATGCACAGAAACTTGTCACTTAGGTGATTCTACATCCTGTCAAGGTGACAGTCACTATAAACTTTCACAGCAGCTAATAACACAAGGACCCCTTTTTGAATGCTGTTGATATATCTAAAGTCTCCAAAGGTGCTCAGGCATATCAGGCAGCTCAGAACCTCCTGTAACTACATCTCCAGAAAATCCAATGCCCTCTTCGGGTTTCTGCAACCACTACACTCATGTGCACATATACACACATATGTGATTTAAATTTTTTTTTCGTCTCTTTGAGACAGGGTCTCCCTGTAGCACCAGCTGGCTAAGAACTCACTATGTAGACTAGGCTGGCCTTGACCTCACAAAGATCCACTTGCCTCTGCCTCCCAAGTGCAAACTATTTCAATAAAATCAAAATGATTCCAAATAAAGAGAAGAAATTATTTGAGTAAATTCCTAGAAATTGAACTCATTTCGAAGTAGAATTGAGTGTTAATTCACCTGGAACAATGACACATACTAGGCTTTCAGGAAGCATGATGAATAAATGAATGCCATTTAACAAGGATGCTGAGTTTGAAAGGGACTAAGTCTGGTTCATAAAAACCGGTTTGATACAATGGAGAACAAGATGACTCAACACAATTAGCATTGCACATCAATTGTTTATTAAGTGTTTAGCTTCACAACAGAGGACAAGTTAAAGGCCATAGATACAATCTCAAGCTCTCACCATAGACTGCCAAGGGAAATATTTCAATAAGCCTTTCCTGCCACCACAACAGCTTTGCGAACATGAAAATAATCTGATTTACTGTCAACAAAAATCACAGCCAAATAATGAAAAGACTATCATAAGTTTCTGATTAACTTTGGAGACAAACACATGAGGTCACGTACAGCTTTAGTTTCACGAAGACAGGGTGATGTTTATTTTTTCCCCATATTCCAGTTTTCAGGTATACTTCCTTTCAACTTTTCATCTGCACAGGAAAAAAATAGCATGAATTTATGGTTAATTTTAAAAATAAAGATGTAACCTAGCAGACAAGACCCTTTGTTCCATCCCAGCATCACAAAAATTAAAAGAAAATAATAATAAAATCAGAACTCTGTGTGCTTCTAAGTCGAATACAGAGAAGGAATATGCATTTTTAATGAAATCAGTACTTGTGCAATGTCCACGTGTTTGAACTGAAAAAAAAGCAAATTGAATTGTCAATCTGACATGTATAATGACAAATTTTATCAATATAACTAGGATCTCTGCCTCATTTCCATCCTCTGTGAGACAGAAATAGTTCCTACTTTCAGAACCGTGAACACGTGGACATACAATAGCCTGAAACAAGCACACAAAAAAACCTATGAATTAAAATTGTAATTGTTCTAATTAAGCTGACCAAAACAACAAGCAGCATTATGCTATAGCACAGTGCCTAGATATTGTTTAGTCAGTTGAAACCCAGTTTTGACATTTGAATCTGCAGCAAGTGTAGTGACCCCACAGGAATTGGGGATGCCATCAGAAATATGCTTTGCTTCTGATTATTCTCCAGAGCATCAATCTCTGTGTTGTGGGGGACATGTGGGACAAAGATCCTGATGTGGCAACAGGCAGACAGAGCCACAGAAATATTGACTATGTTCTCCTGATGAGGTCCGGTTTTGTGAATAGAAATTTATTCTTGTACTTAAAACAATGGAATGATTTCAAAATACAAGAGTCTCTCCCACACCTTCCTGAAAAGTTCCTGATAGGACTTTGAGTTGTTCTAGGAAGAGAAGACACTTCTGCCAGGAACAGGAGCCTGTGCTATTTGGTGTGTTTCCACTCAAAAGAGCAGATGTAAGGTTATCTACTTGTTGCTAATGCAGTGTTCACTTAGTGTGGTTTCCTTATGCATTAGCCTTATACTGTCTCTGGATCCCTCCCCTCTGAAGAAGCCCAGGACTCTGCCTTTCTGTGCCATCTTTGGTCTTTCCCGACTAGACAAAAGTCACATGAAATCCCCACTTTATTGTTTTCTTGTATCTAAAGCTTATTATGATAGTTGCCTTGGTCAATGCTGTTTTGGGGAACTTAGGGGAGAAAGAAAGTATAGAGATTGGTATTCTCACAGAAGTCAATAAAAATCAGTGGTTTTGTTTTTGTTTTTATTTTTTTTTGCTTTTTTTGTCTTTTTGAGACAGGGTCTCCCTGCAGCTCCAGCTGGCTTGGAACTCACTATGTAGACCAGGCTGGCCTTGAATGAACAGGGATCCACTGGCCCCTGACTCTTTGAGTGCTGGGATTAAAAGTGTGTGCCACCGTGCCTGGCAAAAATCAGTGTTTTTAGAGAATCATTGCAAGTGACATTCCCTCTGCTTCTGATGGAACACGATAGTTTCTTCTTTTTCATTTTACAGTGGACTCCAACCCCATGGTACTGAGTGGCCATGCTGGGATGGAACTGGATCCTGATGCCAGAGGACGGGTTGTTCCTGGCACAGCCAGCTTACCTGTAGCAGCTCTGACTCCTTCTCTGCCCTCAGGAGGCTGTCCGCCAGCTCTCTTATGTGCTGCCAGGCTTGCTGCACGTGGGCAGACTCCACAGTTCGAGAGCACAGGACAAAACGCAGCACAAATTTGTCTTGGAGGCAACAAGGAACCAAGTGGATTTTTTTGGTGCTGTTTATTTTTTCTAAAAGAGCTTCATTCAGCTGGTTGGAACCCTGAAGGAATTAGAAAACAGATCCATCATATAACAGCGAAAGTCTGGCAATGCTCAAAGACAGCAGACAGAAAAGAAACCATCCTGGCCTTTCACTTTACCTTTAAGATGCCAGAAAGTTCAACAAAATAATTTGAACACAGGCTGAAAGTATGTCATCCCCTATGACATACTTCTCTGTGTTCTGGGTTACCAGAAGTTGACCCCCCTAGAGTCCAAGTTTGTTTAAGAAAGATGGAGATGCCTAGAGATAATGTCAGCAACAGATGAGCTTAAACACGACCAGAGTTTCTGATGCACAAAACAGGACTCTGAATTCTCAGTGAAACTCAGTGAAAGTCTCAACAAAGACAATGATCCAACAGTCAAGCTGTGCTAGAATCTGGGAAGGACATCCATGAGCGCAGGAAGAGGGGAGGGAGTCATGGCGATCTCCACACAGCCTCTCTAGAAAGAGAATGGTCCACCAAATGGGGACAGAGAGGCCGGGGCCTCCACTCCCAGTGACCGATCTGAGATAAGACACCCTTACCAGCACACAGGAGGCCCTCTGTCCAGTTGGGGCCATTCTCTGCCCACTCCCTTCACTTCTCTAAGTTGCCATATGGTACCCCCCCCAAGTCTTTCAGCTTAGTGAAATGTAGGGGAACGAACATAGGCATCCCTCCCTAGTCACATGACTCTTGAGGGGCTGGACTGTTTGATGTGGACTTTCCTTAAAAAGAGGCAGGAGGGCTGGAGAGATGGCTCAGTAGTTAAGAGCACTTACTGTTCTTCCAAAGGACTCAGTTCAGTTCCCAGCACCCACATGGTGGCTAACATTGGTCCTTAGCTCAAGTTCTGTGGGACTCAATGCCTTCTTCTAGCCTCCACGGGCACCAGTCACACACATGGTCCATCTACATACTTGCAAGCAAAACACTCATACACATAAAATAAAAATAAAACCTTTTACAATTATATGTATATATGTTGAGAGAGAGAGAGAGAGAGAGAGAGAGAGAGAGAGAACATATCAAAAAAGAAGTGTTCCCTCTGCCTATCAGAACTGTAGTAGCTGAACACTGGCTAGAAACTGGCCTGGGCAAATTCACCTGACTCTAGCTGTGGATCTGACTGTGACACCCAAGAGAGTCTAAGTGTACAGTGAAGGAACCACAGGCTATTCTGGCACTGTTGGTATGAATGCCAAGTCTGGACAAATCAGATCCTATTTAAGGAGGGCAGAAAAATGAGATACAGTACTAAGAGAATGGGTTTTTATCAAAAAGACTCAGTGTTTCAAAATGAAGTGTGATACAAGGAAAAAAACGACTCAGCATGAGAGCGCACACTTAAGATTCATATAGTACAGAAAACGAAAACAATGTATTTAGGAAAACTTTGCTTGCCATTTTCAATTAGTTGTGTTAGATGGGATTCCATGGGATAGAAACAAACAGAGAAATGGTCTGAGATGCTATAATGACAAAGGAAAGAGTAAGACAGGAAGAGGGTAGAGGGTAGAAAGAGGAGCAGCAGCACCACATGCAGTAGGTTCACTAGCGAGCTACAGGGCCAGGAATATAGCTCGGTGGTAAAGCACTTGCCTTGCATTGGTGAGACCCTCGGTTCCACTCCCTAGTACCATGAAAGAAAGCATTTTGTATGGAGGATGTTATTTTAGCCCAGCACTATGGTGCACACCTATAATCATCTCTTCAGAGCTAGACATAGAAGGTTGAGGAGCTCAAGATCATCTTCAGCTACATAGCAAGTTTGAGGGCAGCCTGGGCTATATGAGACCCAGTCTCAATAAATAGCCACAATGTGCGACTGCTGAAGCCATCAATGATGGAGAAGATTAAAAACTCAGACAGGGGAGGGAGGGTGCTAGAGAAATGGCTCAGCCATTCAATTCCCAGTACCCACATGGTGGCCAACAATCATCCCAAACTCTAGTTCCAAGGAACTGGATACCCTCTTTGGACCTTCAAAGGCACTGCACTTACATGCATGCAGGCAATATGCTCATACATGCAAAACAAAAATAATAAAATATTTTTTAAAAATTAAAACTCAGGGGCTGGAGAGATGGCACTGACTGCTCTTGCAGAGGACCCGGGTTCGATTCCCAGCACCCACATGGCAGCTATGAACCATCCTTAACTCCAGTTCCAGGGGAATCCAAAGCCCTCTTCTGACCTCTGTGGCATTGCATGACATGGGTGCATTCACATACATGCAGGCAATACACTCATACACATAAAATAAAAATAATAAAATATAAAAAAATTTTCAATTAAAATTTAGACTGGAGAAGATACAGAGAAAATAACGATTAATGTAATTACATAAGCAGGAAAATGATTGGCTAAGTGCTGCCTTAAGAACTATGTTCCAGCCAGGCATGGTAATGTGTACCTTTAATCCCCACACTTGCATTCAGGAGGCAAAGGCAAGTGAATCTCTGTGAAATCAAGGCTAGCCAGGTCTACATAATAAGTTCCAGGCCAGCTGGGGCTATGGGAAGACCCTGTCTCAAAAAAAACCCCAAAAGTTCAAAGCCAGCCTATTCTACACAGTGAGACCCTGTCTCAGAAAGGGGGGTAAGAAGAGAGGGAGGAAAGGATGGTGGGAGGAGATTAGAGGAACAGAAACAACAAAGATTCTCAAAAGAAAAGTCTTCTTAGCTGAGAAGTGCCTGGGGTCCTTCATGTGAGGACTGCACATACCACCAGACACATGAGAAGATGCAGAAACCAAGGCAAAGTGGGCTTGGTGTAATCTGTGAATTATACAAACCCAGTATAGTCTTAGCCTTGACAACCTCATGCTAAGAGTGAAAGAAGCCAGCCACCAAAGGCAACATATATAGAGAGAGTATTTATCTGTATGTTCGGAGTAGACAGATCTCTAGAGATAGATCTGCCTGGAGCTGGTCAATGGGGATGCTTATAATGGGGGAGGTGAGCACATTGTAAAATTGGATTGTGGTGATGGCTACACAGCTTTGTAGATACACTAAAAATCGCTCAAATAGACAATTTAAAGGGCCAAAATGAATACATCTCAATAAAACCATTAAAAATTAAAATGTAGCCAGGCGTGGTGGCACACGCCTTTAATCCCAGCACTCGGGAAGCAAAGGCAGGTGGATCTCTGTGAGTTCAAGACCAGCCTGGTCTACATAGTGAGTTCCAGGACAGCTGGGGCTACAGGGACACCCTGTCTCAAAAAGACCAAAAAAAAAATTAAAATGTAAGCATCCTACAAGAACATAGGCAATAAAAAACTAACTAGTGGGGAACAGACTAGTCTGAACAGGATGCTAACATCAACCTTTGTGGAACTGCCACATCCTATGGCCCATACACCAAGCTCCAGGGAACTGGATGCCTTGAGGTGCCCTACACTCCTAAGCCATGGTCTGCTTTCTATGTTGCTCTGCACATTTTCCCAGATCTTACATTTTATGTCTGCTGAAAGCTTGAGGCTCCTCTCTAGCTCTCATGTCACAACACTGGCACTTGCTGCTTCCAGAATTTTCCATGCTAGTGTCCCGTGCTCATCTCAAAGCTCCAAAAATCAGATGAGGGAAGGAGGTGGAACCTGGAAGTGCAGCCCATGACAATGACATAGCCCAGATTGTCCCTTCTCATAATCGCTGTCTAGGACTGAACAAGGAGGCCTCCTGGAACGGCCCAGATCTGATTTAGAAACTGCCAGTCAGGCGCAGTGAAATGTATCTGTAGTCCAGCTACATGGGAGGATCACAGGATTCAGGTCAGCCTGGCAACATCATGAGACCCTATCTCTTATTTAAAAAAAAAGAAAAAGAGTGGGAAAAGAAAGCAGAGTCTGGGGATATAGATTAGTGGTACAAAGTACTTATCTATGTGAGAGTCTGGGTTCCACCCCAATACTGTAAAAGGAAGGAGGAAAACAAAAAACTGTTAGCCTGTTGAACTATTTCAGTGGTGTCCAGAGAATTCATTTATAAGATGAGCAAGGGTCATGTGTGTAGCACACTGTAGGGCCTTTTAAGAAACATGGTCATGAATCTGAGCAAAGATGACTTTCTCCCAACAAGGTGGGCTTCTCTCACAAAGTGAGCACACAGCTCAGGTGTCTCCTCTGTGCAGGAATCCTGCTGAGGTGCAGCCTGGTGGTGGGATAGTGGGGTCTGATTTTCTCACCAGCACCCAGATGTGCTGGTGCTGTGGGTCCACAGGAGACCTGGTTACTGAGGCTTCAGATAGCCACAGTCCAGAAAGAGTTCTCATTCTAGAGGTACAGGATGCGCTCTTGGCATTGGGTCAAGAGAGAAGCCTCCAAGCACACCTGAGGAGACTGGGCAGCAAGCCCATGAAGGAGAGTCTGTGTGAGGCCTCTCAGAAGCCAGCCAGACCAGCACCGGGCCTGAGCTCTGCAGGCTGTGTTCTGCAGCCCTGGGAAACTAGTGTGAGCTTTTGCATGTGGACATCATAGATGATGCTTTCTCTACTATCATTCAGTGAAATTGAAGATGACTGAAACTGGTATAAGGTACCTTTAGCCGAAAGCAGACCAGCCCAAGAATGACTTCTGCGCAGATCTCAAAGCGAGGGTCCTGGCATACTAGAGACTCAAACTCATGAGACAGCTGCACATGCTGGAAAGAGGAAAAGGAAACATGCTGTAGTTTCTCATCAACACTGAATTCCAGCCCTGGTGACCCAGCACCTTAATTGCACATCTGTAATTCATTTACAGGCTCTGAGCAATGTCTCTCCTGTCATTAACAGTTTCCACACAAACTGAGGAGGAAACGCGTCTACTCCATATCACAAGGGAAATCCAGGGTTCTTAGAAAAATGCCCTCATTTTCTTCTACTCATGGGTTCATTATTTTATCTCCCAACCCCAGCTCCATCTTTTGTAATCGTGTAATAAACATTGCAAAGAGGTATTTGAATGTTCTAGAAAAAAGACTACATTCATCTGCCTTGTCATCCTGATGCCAGCTTTACACTGTGATACTGAGATGGCTCTAGTTGGCAGATAGGGATACTGAGGCTCAGAGAGAATAAGCATCATGCCCAAGGCCTTATGGTCATGCCTTCGCTGAGCTGAGATTCACACCAGCAGCCATTACTAGAGCTTCTGTTCTGTATCAGGTGGGGCTGTAGTCCCACCTTGATTTCAACTGATAGGTAGGAATCACTTACACCCAGCCACATTCAACACACCAACTTATTTAACTTCTAGGCACTTATAGAAGTCAAAGATGATTCAAGTAATACATGATCTGTGGCGAATACACTCACCATCATCCAAATGCACACTTAACTGGAACCCCCCACACCCTGCACTAGCTGTCCGAGGTAGAGGCCTAAGAGAGACTGAATACAAGTAGTACAGGCTTGTTGGGACAGAAACTCTGTTGATGCAAGTGGTCCCTAGTCACCCCACCAGAGGGCGCCAAAGACTCAGGACTAAATTGTTCTGCAATTAGCTCAGGCCTAGGAACACAGTTTTAACCATTCTCTTTTTCTCTTGGTAAGGCAGGATTGGGACTCTTCTGCACATGAGCTAGAATAATCACAACGAGTCATCCTGAACTTAACTCATCATCACCATGGACAGATAAACCACTTTGGGTTTTTTTTTTTCTTTTATTTTCACCAAATGAGTCCTCACTCCCTTTGCAGTGGGAACAGGGGCTAGCTTACTTATAAATTCACATACACCCTTGGTTTCTAGTTTTTTCCCCTATGCTGTTTCTCACAGCGCTTGAAATCTCCATGAATGTTCTCACAACAGCCTTGTGGGCTGGACAGGTGCCAGTTAGTAGCATGTGACAGGCACTCTGCAAATGAAGGCTTTTCTGCATCTGTATCATAGAGAAGGAGCCTGAGGTATTCAGCTCCTACCCTCAGCTGCACAGTGGTGACATACTAGGCACCAGCACTTAAAGACAAGGCTGTCACCATCACTGGGGCTGGAAACCACAGTCATGTCTGTCTCATGAAGATGAAGCCATGGCTTAGAGAGAGGATGGCAGGACCAGAAGAAGGGACCCTACTGGTCAGTGGGCCTGCTGCATCTGGCTAAATGGGTAGGCAGGTCCTGGCTCATATTCATGCCTCAGTTTTCCCTGTTGAAAAAAATAAAACTAGGGCAGTGGAGCTTAGAGCAGATCAGTGCTTTCCAAAAGTGGTTTAGTGCATATCACAGTGACCTGCATGGCTTGTTGAAACAGATGTTGCAGTGAAGGAAACTTCCTTGAGACCAGAGGGACTCATGGGTACCCATCTAAACCAACTCAAAGGTGCTTGTAGTTTGGCAATTTGGGGAAGGAAAACATTATTTTCTCACTGTTTTCATTGCTCAGTGAATCTTGCTGCTGGCAGGAAAAATTGAATCCACATACTACTTTATCTTTCAGAAGCTGATAACCTATATTCCTAATGATAGTGTCTTAGAAGATCCATAATTATGAATTGGATTAGTCTAAGTGCACTAAAGACCAAAACTACAATCTGGTCCTATTACCATGCTTATAACAGTCAGCAACAGCAGACCATGCATCCCTCTGCCCCTAGAAGTTTGTGTCTGCTAATAGGTTGCATTTCTCAGAATTTATCCCCACTGTTAGGCAATGTATGATGATGTTTGCTTACTAGGCACCGGCATTGATTTCTGAGTCCCCTAAGACCTCCATAATTTTGTTCAGATATAAAAGGAAGACAGTCACCTTGCGGATATGAGCCTGTAGTCCCTTGACTCCATACATTCTAAAAACAAACCACATTTTCAAAGAGCGGAATCTCCGACCCAGTGGGATCTGCCAGTGCTGAAACAAAACATAAAGGTACATCAGTGAGATGCATATAAAGAGCCCGGTTCCTTTTCAACTTATCGGTTGGCCGGTTTCTTCTGGAGGCAGCCAGCTTCCTGTGGAATGCCCATTTCTCATCCTGGACAGCAAAGAACTTGACATGTAAGCAGGGACCCCAACAGGAAGTTTTCTTTACTTCTTATGGAAATGAGGACAGAAGAATCCCTGATTTAGGAGGCACTGGTGTTCACTGGATAGGTCTGCCCAGTTCACAGCAGAGGAGAAACCACAGTGAACAAACTGGAAAGATATCGTCCTGCTCTAAGGAGCTTCTGTTGGGAGCAGGGGACATCCATCCAGGTGGGGCATGCCTGCTTCCCTCTGCCTGTGATGCATTGGAACTGCTCTTTGTGTTGCTGATTTGGGGGGAGTGACCCCCAATTCTCCTTTACCAAAGAAGCTTTCCCTCTGCCTGTCCTAGCTTTCCCAGACTGTCAGCAGATGGGAGGATCTCATTCCTTCTGATGGTGACGGCTGGAAACATAATAAGAGCACATAAGAGAGGAAGATGTGAGACACAGGCCAGCTGTGAGGATGACCTGGGACTGCTTCACGGCTTTCCTTTAAATACTCAACTTGAGCAGGACATGCTGGAGCACACTTTTAATCCCAGCACTTAGGAGGTAGAGGAAAGCAGATCTCTGTGAGATTCAAGTCAGACTGGTCTACATAGTGAGTTTGAGACCACCTGGGACCACAGGGAGACTCTGTCTCAAAAAAACAAACAAACAAACAAAATCAACCAACCAAACAACAACCAAAAAAAAAAAAAAAAAAACAAGGTTGAGAGATGGCTCAATGGTTAAGAGCACTGGCTGCTTTTCAGAGAACCTAGGTTCAGCTCCCAGCACCCACATTGCGGTTAACAACCATCTGTAACTCCAGTTCCAGAGGCTCCAAAGCCCCTCTTTTGGCCCCTGTGGGTATTGCACACATGGGTGCACTTACATGCATGCAGGCAAAACACTTATGCACATAAAATAAAAATTAATTAGTTTAATACTCAACTTGAAATTATAAAGGAGATGTTGAGGTGGCCTCTCTTGTGCTTCCTGTCTGGTTCCTGAGGAGAGATGTTCCCCTACTAGGCATAGGATGATGCTCTACAGTGAAGAAGAGCATCCAAAACTCATTCACTGTTTATTACCTGTGCACCATTGACAATTAGGCTGAACACAGTGCTGCCTTTCGGCAGAAGACACAAAGGTTGTTTTTAAATACAGTTGTTCTTTCCTTAACCAGGAGGCAAGTTACAAGACCCCTTTCCCATGGGGGCTTGAAATTTGGATAATACCAAATCTATATACACTGTTTTTTCTAGACATATGTACCTGTGATATGATTCCCTATTTTAATTCCCTATTATTGAACTATTTGTTTTTGGAAGTTTCTAGCTTTCCTTAGTTGTTGGAAACTCAGGAACTCTCTTAAAAGACTGGGAACTCTTTCTTAAAAGTCTGGCATAGGATCCCCGTGGAGGCTATGCAAATGCAAAGTCCAATGAAGTGTCAGAATGGAGAGATTATGAGTGATCTATCTTGTCCTCACACTTTTTTAATATTATTCTCACATTATCCCTTAAGCAATAACTTTCTAAAAAGTAAGTTGGATCCTAAATGTACAGTGTTAAATGGGATGACGGACTGTTCTCACAGCCGTACGCACATCTGCACATACCCTGGCTTTTGTCCCTGGACTGCAAGCTTCCCTAAACCTCTTTTCCAGGAGGAGCTGTAATGAAGATCCCTGGTGCCCTGCACCTGCCAGCTTGCAGCTGTCACTGGAAAAAGAAAGGGTACTCTATATCTGTGAGAGATAATCCTGATACTTTATTATCAGCGGGTGACATACTGGACCCAGGAATTCAGACATACCACTTTGGACAGGAGGCTTTGCTCACATCCTATGTCCACCATGCCTGGTTGCACATCCCCCTGGATTCGGGTTATTTCTTGAGTCAGAAAGGCAGCTGATACAGTGGGCCCCTACATGACCCCAGCCTGCTTGGCTTCTATTCTTGTAAGCCTCCCAGCACTACTTATGATTCCAAACTCCTTTCCAAAATAAATCTAGGACAACCTGGAGTTTTCAAAATCCAGAAAAGGTTTGTGGCAAATAAAAAAGGAGAAAGAAATAAAGTAAGCCAAGGAAAGGCTGCCAGACAATGTTCTCCTGTCTCTGAATGTGCCCCCCCAACCCTGTGCTATGCTACCACGCCAGGTCCTCAGCAGCAAGGCAGGAAGGAGGGCCACATGGTCTCTGGAGTCAGTTCCTTGCAGAAGTCAGAATGCAGATCCACCAGGCTTAGAGGGCAGTCAGGGTACTCATCCCAACCTGGAACCTCTGACTGGTAGACTTGGCAGAGCTGCCTTGGAAGAGCTCACCTAATGTATCTGCTAGAAGCCAGTTAGTAGATGCTTCTTGTGGATTCCTGCTCATGAAGTGGGGACAAGGGTAGCCGCAGCATTCCATTTATTTGGATTCTAATGAACCTGGAGCTCAACAAGACAAATAAATCATCCACTTACCCTGTAATCAGTGATAAGTCCTGGAGAAAAGAGTAAGACAGAGAGACCATTAGACAGAGGTACCTTTTTTGATTCTTTCAGGCAGATTTCTTCTTTTTTAATTAAAAAAATTACTTTTATTGTATGTATATGCGTTTTCCTACTTGTAGCTAAGTGCACCTGTGTCATGCAATGCCCAAAGAGGCCAGGAGAGGGTATCAGATCCCTGAAACGGAAGTTACAGACAGTTGGGACAGTTGTTCGCTGCCATGTGGGTGCTAGGAAACAAACTCAGGTCCCTCTGCAAGAGCAGCCAGTGCTCTTATCCACTGAGCTACCTCTCCAGCCCCCAGGCAGATTTCTTATGTCACAGATGATGTCTTCTGAGGCAGACATGAAACCATCTGAGGACTGGCTGGGCTGTGTGTACTTTGCGGCTCATCTCAAAGTAACAGATTCAAGGACAGTCCCTGAGAGGAAGATGTCCAGGACACACTGGAAATCCTCAAATATGAATAGAACCCCATTAGGTTTCCTTTTTGTGGGTGCATAAACATGGAAAACTGTGATTAGCAGTAAGCCGGCATTCAGATGGTGTAAGTCATTCATTTGTTCATGCATGCAAAGGTGAGTTGGCAATGCAGAGAATGATTTATAATAAGCAAAGAAGGTATTTCCATCTCCATACTCAAGGATGATGGCTTTGCATGTGGCACAGAACAGCTGCTCCATGAATACATGCTAAGTCAAATTCCTCATCCCACACATTGGTATGAAAAACATTGCTTTGTACTCTCTGGTGCCTTTTGGTACCTAGACTACTGAACCCCAGGACAGCACAAAGGAGAAGACTGGATAAGGATTCATAAATCAAAGTTTCTAGAGTGATCTGGGCAAGAGCTAGGAGGGCATGCTGGGGCTGGCTGCAGCCCTATGATGTAGCTGGGCACAGGAAGCAGTCAGGCACCTTGGAAATCTCTCCCATGAATGTAGGTCAGGCAAAGTATGTTACAACTTTTAAGGGTCTCAGCTTTTTAACACTTGCCACTGCAAACACGGCCACTTCAACTGGGACAAGCAACCTCATACACCCACCATGCACTGCACAGGAAGGTTTGAGTTATATTTATAGGACATCTGAAGTCATTACTTGATTTTATCTGACATCAGGAGAGACTAGGTCTTAAGTAGGATAAAAGTGGTAGTGCTGGGGGCAGGCAATACCACCAATCTCAGCCTGTCTTATGGGCAACATTGAGATAGTGCCCACAGTCACACAGCCTTTCCATACCCCATTCTATGCTCTCTTGTGTACTCTGGGGCCTCTTGCTACAAATCTAATGGCGATGGCAGGCCATCAAAACTAACCTGACACTGAGGCCCACAGTGTTCACAAAGGCCCAAGTCACTTGGCCTTGTCACAGACATTCAAAGAGAATCTGTTAATAACCACATGACTCACAAGCAAAAATGAATGGATCAAACATCCCCATTTAAGTTTATATGATTGCACCATCTGACACAGTACTTCTAATCACATGTGGCTGTTTAAATCAAGCTGTTGTTTACAACTAAAGGAAATTGAAAATGGATTTCTTCTGCTAGATGAGCCATCCTTCAAGTGCTCATTTGCCACCTGCGGGTTAGTGGCTGCCATGTGGAACAGCACAGAACTTTAGAACATTTCCTCAGTGGCGGGAACACCGGAAGGGTATGACACTCATTCAAGCAAAGTAGCTCCTAGAACCAGAGGAAAGTATCAGTGAAAAATGGAACCTCTTTCCTGAGTCTGCTTCACTGGGGGTGACTGAAGATCTGGATCAAAGCCTAATGTTCCTCATACACAACGGTATTAACCCCAAGCCAGCAAGTGCCTATGAGAATGGTCAGGTGTACATTGTGAGCTACTTAATATATCTTACATACCTACTAGGTCTTTAAAACTTCCTAATTCATCATGGTGTGGGAAGCTTGTAAATGGAATATTAAAGCAATAAAACCAGACTGCCTAAAAGCAAGACAAGTGAGAAATTAGTATGTGGACAATTGTTGAGGTTTGAATGAGAAATATTCCCTAGAGGCTCACGTTCTTGAACACTTGGTCCCCAGTTGGTGGAGCTATTTGGGGAGGTTATGGAATGTCTAGAGGGTGGAACCTTGATGGAGGAACTATGCCACTGGGAGTGGGTTTTGAGTATGTAATAGCGCTCTTGCTCTCTATTGTGTGCTCTCTCTCTCTCTCTCTCTCTCTCTCTCTCTCTCTCATTCCTGTGTGCAGCTAAAAATGTGACCAGCCAGCTTCCTACTCCTGCTGCCATGTCTAGTCTTGTCTGTTCCCATGCCTCCCCTCCAGGATGACTGCTAGCCTTCTAGAACCATGAGCCCTTTCCTCCCCAAATTGCTTTTGGTTGGAGTGCTTTATCACAACAGAAAAGCAGACTAATATAGAAATTAATACCAGGAATGTGGCTATTTCTGTGATGAACTGACAGTGTTGGTTTTCAGAGGAATATGGCAGACTTGGGGTCTTTGGGCTAGAAAAGTCATTGAATGCTGTGGGCAGAGTTTAAAGGGATATTCTTCTGGGAACTTGGAAGACAGGAGTCTTGAAAGTAACATGGACAGTGGAGGTCCAGATCCTGTTTCAGAAGGGAACAGGACTGTTGTTAGCTAGGCTAGGAGCTATTTGTGAGATATTTAGGCTAAGAATCTGTGCGTGTTGATCATGCTGGGGCTCAAGAAGCAGCTGCAATTGTCAAAGAGATCAGCACCACTCAAGTGAAGCCTCCTGTGCCTCACTGGGACAATGAGAAAGTGTTTCCTCCGGGTCAGCACCCAGGAGCTGAGACAGCTGCAGTCATGGGTGGAGGAGGGCGGCCGGGCTACATCTCCAGCTGGTAGCATAACTTGGCAATGTAGGTGGTATACATGTGGTACTGTTTTTTAAAGCATAAGATGCAAGATTGAGGGGGTCATGAAGAGCAACTGAGGCCTGGTACCATGTGGCAGAGTCAGAGTCCCCATGAAAAGACCCTAGAGATCATCGATGAAGGTGAAATCTCAATTACAACAGGGACTCTGGGATATTAGAGATGCCAGGGTCATGGGACATATGCCATGGAAAGATGAATACAGGGAGAGAAGCCATCCCAAAATAGAGACGTTGTAGGCAGCAAAGCTGGAGAAGCAGAGCCCTTTGAAATTGGAGCCCCAGATACTGGACATGGAGCTACAGGATTTGGTTTTTATACTGCTGGGTATCAGTCTTACATCAGGAAAAGCTGTGTCCTCTCTCACCTTAAGCCCCTGCTGTAATTTCAGTAGATAGTGACTCCCAAAGGTCCACATGTAAAGGATTATCTGCAGTGGTGCTGTTGGTGGGGATGCATTGAATCCATAGGAGGTTGGGCCTAGTGGGATGCTCTTAAGTCACTGGGAGTGTGTCATCAAAGCAGATTTCGTAGGGGGCTGGAAGGATGGCTCAGCTGTTCAAAGAACTGGCTGCTCTTGCAGAGGACCCAGGTTGAATTCCCAGCACCCACATGGCAGCTGACAACTGTCTGTAACTCAAGTTCTAGGGGGATCTAATGCCCTCTTCTGGCCTCTATGGGTATTGTACACACATGATGCACTTACATACATGCAGGCAAAATACTCATACACATAAAAATAAAAAATAAAATTTAGAAATGTGGAATTGGGGAGGCCATCTCTCCCTCTCTCCTCTCCTCTCCTCTCCTCTCCTCAATCTCTCTTTCTTTCTCTCTCTCTCTCATTTGCTCTCTCTATCACTTTCTCTCTGGCTTCCCCTCCCCTTCCCTGGTTCATGAAGTGAGCAACCACTAAGTGAGCACTTGTTTAGCTACATGCTCTCTCATGATGTGCTTCTTTCAACAAAGCTCCAAATCTATGGGGCTGCCCCATGTTGGACTTGAACCACTAGCAACATGAGTTAATTGCCCTGACAGCTGACTTACACAGTCACCATGGCTCAAATGCCTCGCTGTGTCCACTTTTTGCCCCGGTCTCTTTGAGTAGTGCATGGTCAAGTTGGAAGCTACCCCAGGAAATGTGAGCCCCCTGCTAAGGCTTTGGGGAGCAGCCTACATAAACCCCCACACCACTACTCACTGCCTGTTATCCTCTTAGTCACCAGTCTACAGATACTGAGCCTTGTTCCCTGTCTTGTCAACAGGCATAGCCCACAGGTCTACCAACCAAATGCACAAGTGTGTATTGGTGCTCTAGCCCTACCTTAGGTTTTGTCGTATTTCCTCTTCACTTCCCTTCCCTACACTACCTTCTTCCTTTACTTTTTTTCCTTCTTCATGGTATTGGTGGATGATGTGCAAATCCCTTTTCAGAAGGACATTAATTCAGTCATTACTATAAAGATGTTTGTTTTATAAGAACTATTAGGAGGAGGTGTTTGTACCTGTTCTGAAGCTGGAGGGTGCACTCCGTGTGCCCTTGCTCCTACCTTGCATAACTCAGGTGGTTGTGCAAGCTCTTGATGCTTCCGGAGTGGGAGGGAGCCCAGAAGAACCCAAGCCTCCCTCCCCTCAGCACACCAACTCAGCATAGCAGAGAAAGACTTGTGACAGTAAGCCAGAAAGCACAGGACCCCACTCTCCCTAGGGAAGGTTCTATGGGAATCCTTAGCATTGTCAACTCAGCACTGACAGAAATGAAAACCAGAACAGACTGGAGAAGTGGGCACTCCTGCTCACCTGAGTCCTGATGGCTGTGCTTCAGATAAACAGGGTCCGTCTTAAAGGCTTCAGTCAAGTCAGTTCTCTTTTTCACCCTGGTTTAGGAGAACAAATGATAGAGCTTGTAATTGTGCCAGCAGGAATGAAGATATTCTGGAGAGACATTTCTAGAGAGTTGTGCCCTCCTTTTGACCATCAGACTTTTGAGACAATGTGCCCCAAAGAACTGGAATTGCCCTGGGAATCTCATACTGGGAAAAGGAAAAGGTTAGAAGTCAGGTTCCAGACTGAGAGAGGTCTGTTCCCCACAAAGAAGTTTCACATAGTTCTGACAACTGGTCAGACCACTTTGCTGGGACTGGGAAGCCCAGACAATGATAGGCAGGACCATACCTTAACCAAGGCTGCTTGGTTATGCATACCTCTTGCTATTGAACCTGATTCACATGTCAGTACGCAGAAGGCCAGAAGACAGGGTATGTGGATGTCACTGGACCTCTTTAGTTGTTCTTTTCAGCGTGGCCACATTGACTAAATCTTTCATTGCTCTTCAATATTAGTTGTGTCTTTAATTGGACTGTTGAAGAAGGGTGGCTGAACCTGGCTTGTTAGGGAACAAGACTTTGACCCTAACTCCGCTAAGAGGTTCATGCCTCAGAACTTTGGATTGGTTGGTGGCAATGGGCTGCTTATTCCTTCTCCCTTGTTCTGCTCAGCCACCTACCTCCAGAGTCACCACCCTGGCCTAATTCTAGCACAGCATGCATCTCCAGGATCCAAACACTGGGGGTTAAATTATTGGGGTCCTGGCTCCTGACACACAGCTCCTAAAAACCGCGGGGTCTTCAGAAGCAATGGGAGCATATCCTGTGTGGTTATTAAGTGACTGGTGCCTGGGTGCAACTAAGCAGAGATATTCCAAAGAGAGAAACTTTGTGCTACTCCCTTTGGCGATCAGACTGTTGAGACCCCCAAGTAATTGAAATTTCCCTCATGAATCTCATGCTGGGGGAAGGGAAAGGCCTAAGCCCTGGAGGGGGAACCTGTCTGCCAGAAAGAGACTTCACAGAATTCTGACATTTTGTCAGACTGCCTTACAGGAAAGACTGGAGCCCAGACAAGGATGGTTCAGTGACAGGCAGGACCCCACCTTGATCAAGACTGCCTTGTTATATATACCTCTTGCCCTCTATTTAAACCTGAAACTCATGCCAGTACCCCAGAAAAGTTGGGGATCACTGTGTAACTGGCCTGGCAGAACTGAGGTACTTGTGTCTCAGCCTATCACTATTGAAACAATGGACCCCAAAGAAATGGGTATTTCCCCCAGGAATCTCATGCTAGGAGAAGGAAAAGGTCCCAGCCAGAAGGGGGAACTTGTCTCCCCAAAAGAGATTTCACACAGTTCTGGAAAGTGATGGGTCAATGGTGGCTGTGACCATACCTTAACTGGAACTGCTTTGATGTGCTTATCCTATTTAAAGTCTTGGGGTTGAGGAAATGGCTCAGTGATTAAGAGTACTGGCCGCTCTTGTGGAAGACCAGGGTTCAGTTCCCAGCACCCACATGGCAACTAACAACTGTCCATAACTCCAGTTCAGGGCATCTGACACCTTCTTCTGACTTCTGTGGGCATTGCACAACACCGGTGCACTTACATACATGCAGGCAATATATTCATACACATAAAATAAAAATAAAAAATATATTTTTAAAAAGCTTCTTTTTAATCCCACCACTCAGGAGGCAAAGGCAGGTGGATCTCTGTGAGTTCAAGGCCAGCCTGGTTTACATAGTGAGTTCCAGGTCAGCTGGGGCTACAGGGTGACCCTGTCTCAAAGACAAAAAAAAAATGCTCATTCTCACTTTAGAGTCCTGAGTTCAGGCTTGGGGATCTTTGGTCTCTCCCCAGTGTACTCACCTTGAATAAATCACCTTTTCTGCTTTTCATTCTTAACTTGGCTGCTTTAACCTGCTTATAATAATAAGATTAGCTTGGAGCACAGGCTTTCACCCCAACTTCGATAACAAAATGGCCACCTTGACAGGACAAAGACACAGTTTTGGGGTGTGTGTGCCACTCGATGACCCCAGGTGGGGTTGTAGTCTTTTCACTCAGGGACTCTTCCCTGTCTCTACTTTAGCCAGCATTAGCTGTTTTTTACTTCTACTTAGTGAAGCAAAAAAGATAAGTGTAGACTTTGTTGAGTCCTCGAGAAAATAAAACTCTTGGTAAGTCTGTTCCCATCCACACACGTGCAGTGCAGAGCTCAGACTGGCCTACAGGGGGTGCGCTGCCAAGGCTGGTTCCCCAGCCTCATTGTCTGGTACAGCTTGCTTGGAACTCATCTCCAGCCATCAGCCCAGCATCAGCTCTGGGGTTGAAGCCAACACAATCCCCGGGTCCCAGGTCCTCTTTCCTGCCCATTTTTGTTTTCCCACCCTCGCCAGCTCCCAGGGCGTTGCCTTTCTCTCAGCCTTTGGACTCTTTGGGGGTAATCTGAGGTTCTTTTGAACGATGTGGGGCTGCTGCTATGTGATGACTGATTTTGTCTTTCAGAGTTTTTCTGCTGAACAGTAATTGAATTATGCTAAATGGAGAAACATGGTGACCATGATGGTGGAAGAGAGAAAGAGCTCTGGAAGGCACTGGAGACTCAACCATAACTCAAAGTCATGGACTGCAGAGATTGAAAGACATCTCTGCCACTCCTCCTATGGGAAGCTTCATGGAGATGTGGCTAGGTATCCTTTGTCTTGGGTTTGCTTTTTCCCTGCCAAGACCTGTGCATTTTACTCCTTAGATGGGGCCCAACCAGCTCTAACAGGGTATTTGGCTTGATTTCTTCAGGCAATGAGGCCTGACTTTCTAGAGTGACCCCATGTCTTAAGGGGACAGGCCCATAACCTAATAAGAATTCCATCTGCAGGACAGGGCTTGTCAATTTGGAGTTACAATTTGGGATACCCACCATGTGACAGGAAGGATTTGGGACTCTGTTCAGCTATTTGAAATAGAGTCAAGGGAGCAGAGTGTCTTCATGATTTATGTAACCATAGGAACATTAAATCTTTACTACCTGGGTACCACCTAGGGATAGTTCCTGCAGACTAGTCTTCTATTACCTTAGGATGATTTATAAGAATAATGGGAGAAAAATAGTCTCTTCCCTAGAGCTCCTGACCCTTCAGTTTTTATTATGATTATTATTATTATTATTATTAGTAGTAGTAGTAGTAGTAGTATTTTTAAACTCATTACACACTAAAAATCATGATTGACATGGCTTTTTAAAAATTGTCTATATTGGGAATGGAGAGATGGCTCAGTGGTTAAGGGCACTGGCTGTTCTTGCAGAGGATCTGGGTTCGATTCTCAGCACCCACATGGCAGTTAACAACTGTCCTTAACTCAGTTCCAGAGGAATCCAACACCTTCTTCTGACCACCACGGGCATTGCACGACATGAGTGTACTTACATACTTGCAGGCAATACACTCATATACATAAAATATGTATAAATGATAAATAAAAACATTCTTTTAAAAAATTGTGTATATGAGTTGGGCATGGTGGCACATGCCTTTAATCCCAGCACTTGGGAGGCAGAGGCAGACAGATCTCTGTGAGATCAAGGCCTGCCTAATCTACATAGTGAGTTCCAGGCAGGTTGGGGCTTGTGGATTTGTTACAGGTATGGAGGAACCAGGCCAAGTAGACTTGTTAATTTACGGGTACGGGACATGAAGGAGGTCCTCCTACCTGCTGCCTCTATAGAAACAAATCCAGAGACAGTAGTTGGAGACAGTTTTACTTAAGTTCAGGCTTGGGGAAAAAATGGGGTGAAGACCTTAGCCTCACAGAAAGGTAGTCCCACATGTAGGTAAATTCCTTGTTCTCCAGAAGTTCCTTGTAAGATAGAGACTTGCTGTGATTCTTCTGGAGTTTTTCAGGCTAGGCACTCTATTACTCCTATTAACATACTATATCTGAGAAAAGTTAGAGTACCAAGTGAGCCAAGATTAGTTTGCAAGTGAGTATTGGCACTTGGTGGGTCTGACCTGCCTTTGTTGCTTTCCATATTAACACTACTTGCTTCCTGGTAAGACATCATTTATAAATTTGTTTTTGTCTTTTATAATTTTAGTCTGCCCTGTTACAATAAGAATAAAAATGCCTAGCTGGGCATGGTGGCACACTCCTTTAATCCTAGCACTGGGGAGGCCAAGGCAGGCAGCTCTCTGTGAGTTCAAGGCCAGCCTGGTTCACATAGTGACTTCTAGGCCAGCTAGGGCTACAGAGAGACCCTGTCTCAAAAAGACCAAGAAATCAATCAATCAATCAATCATCAATCAATCAATCAATAAAAATAAAGGTGCCCAATGTGAGGACAGGCATTGGGGTTTCAGTAAGTATCCAAAATCCAAAAAAAAAAAAAAAGATTGTTTAAAATTTAGGGTTTTGTTTGTTTGATTTGGTTTGATTTTTATAGTTAGAGCTCATCTGATCATGGTGGCTCATACCTTTAATCTCAGCACTCCAGAGGCAGAGCTTGAGGCCAGACTGGCCTATAGAGTGAATTCCAGGCCAGCCAGGGCTACATGGTGAGACCTTGTCTCGGAATAAAGTCAGAGCTCAAAAAGACAAACAGGAGTTTTTAATGGTATCATCCTTTGGACTGATTGGATTGCCAAGTCTCCACCCAGGACCAGAGATTAAATGATTGTGATACTTCTCTAGTTGTGTATGTTACTCAGAGTTGGTGTCCAAAGGTGATTATAAAGGATGGTTCAACCCTCAATTGCTTCTAAGCTTGCTAATGGCTGTCTTCCTGTCTAAAATTAAACAGTTTGGTATCAATGGGCACTGTAAAATAAGTATGTTAGACTTAGAGACTATGTTCATTAGATTGTTAAGTCCAGTATTTATGTTTATAAATAAACTTTTGATATTTCTGTTATGTAACTGAGAAGTACAACATAATTAAAATGCCTTTAGAAAGTTTGTTCTGGGTTCTAGAGACATGGCCCAGCAGTTAAGAGCACTAGCAGCTCGTGCAGAGGATCTGGGTTCGGTTCTCAGCACCCACATGGC